CCAGCACCAGTGCTGGGGGATCAGCATTTCCATCCATTGCATTCCCTCCCTATGCTAATCTGGTTTGCTGCATAGGGCAGTCTAAGAAACCTAATCTTTATTTTCTGAACCACAATCTTTAATTGCCCATTTTATATTATATTATAGAAAAATGAAGATGAAAGAGCCTGGGAATTTATTGCAGTACCTTGAACTTTCTGTTTAGGCAGCAGTTCTGATTCTCTTCTCTCTTTTCTATTTGACCTAGGAAAACAAGATCTATAATTTATATAAGGAACTTGGAAGATGCAACAGCCTCAATGATATCAAACCAGAATTAAATCTGCCTTTTTTCTGTTTATCTTATTTTAAATAAAATAACAGCTATTTTATACTCTTAAGTAAAAATAGAGTAGTTTGGTATCAAGCACAATTTTAGCCTTAGTAATAATTCAGGCAAGGTTCTAGTGTTGACCTGCTTTCCTAAATTTTATTGCATATTGTTAGGTTTCTGTAGTATTGTGACTGAGGACTGCTACTGTGGGTCTTCCAAAATTCAAATAACTCCATAAATCTCCCTCAATCCAGTAATATGTTAATTAAAAAAATGTATTGTTCATGCCTTTTGAACACAGACATTCATTATGTTGCCTGATGAAGTGACCTTAGCAAGAATCTGCTCATGTCCAAAGGGGTAAGCTTGTAACCTCAGTAACATGGTTAGTTTTAATTAGTCAAAGACATGCTCAGGCTCTCTGTAGGTTTGAAACATTTGAATTCAGTTTTGATGGCATTATTCTCAGGGAGCATGAAACAGATGCACGTAATTCTTGTTAGCATATTACTTGAAGTTGACTTCAAACGTGTTCATTGTAAGTTGTTAGACAGCCTTCATCTACTGGGAATCCAATCTGCCTATTTGCCCTTTTTTTTCTTTAATTACTTCTACAATTATTGTTTGTAACTCCCACTTGGGAGCCTGTGCATGTGGTAGGTGGGCCCTTTTTATACTGAAGTCTGTATGGAAAGAAAAGTCTCTTTTGCAACAGTTTAAGCCTCAGAATTTCTTTCTTGGTTTTGTCTTAGACAAAACTAACTTCTCTAGTCAGCTTTGAGGTCCAGTGCTGTGTGACAGTTTGCTTGAATGAAGAAGCTCAGGTTTTGGCTCTTTGCAGTAGAAAGAGAATCTCTCACATAAGGCAATGTGTTTCTTTTCCCGTGCTTAAATGTGTAATGCCATTTGTAATGCAGTATTTGGTAATTCTGTGTATATTCAGATTCATGCAAAGCCAAAAGGATTAATTTCTAACACTGTAGTTATTTTTTAAAGTTATTTTTTTAACAGCAGCACTGTTAGGGACAGGAGGGAGGTGATTGTCCAACACATCTCCCCATGATAACTTCATGGATGAACACAGGACACCCAACCTCTAGGTCAGGTGGAAAGAAAATACAAGACAGCAGAGAAAGCATGAGCCTTCCTGAGGCTCAGGCCAGCCTGAGATACCATTGCACTGTGCAGTTCATTGTGCTCTCAGCAGTGTGTGTGGCTAGGGAGTGTGTTGTGGGATCCATCAGATGACAAAACAGTATGACAAAAAAACAGATGACAAAAAAGTCAACAGGTGTGCAGCAGTACCAAGTGTTGATCTCTGTTTAACCATTCCACAGTGAGAAGACAGCTCAGTGACTCAGCTATTACTAAAGATATTGCTTGCTTTAGTTATCTTATTTCATAAGCAGACTTCTGGGGGCATACCAGACTTCAAAATACCTTTCTTCCTCTTTCTTCCCTGTAAAAGAGGAAAAGTTTCCCTTATGCATATTGCTTTAGGCCCATATTTCAAAATGACACATTGGCACCACACATTGTAGAGCTGCTCACATGACTCATGATGCATTGCTCCCTATACACAGAGTTCCTCCACTTCATGATCAAAATAAAACACTTGAAATATTCTAGTCTGCTGGGTGGGAGAGACAACAAAATGCTGGAGGGGAACCTTTAAGTAGTATCTCTCTGGACTTATAAGATTGCACTATTTTCCCCACAACCCATTCCTTTTCTCCTCCTCTTTTCTGTCAAAAATTCTGAGTGGTGCTGACAGAAACGATTATAGCTTATGAGTGATAATACAATCCAGTTTTCTTCAAGGAGAGATGCTATCAGAGGACATTTTTTTTAAAAATACACAGGTAGAAAAGAACCATCTTTCTTCCTAGAATAACAGTTATTAATCTCTTACTAGTACATTTTCATATCATTTTGGACATTTATTTCCACGCTGTGGTATTATAAAACCAGGCATTTGTGTCAGTTTTGATGCACTGCAACATGCTGCAACATGAAAAGCCGTAATTACCACCGTGGTCATTTGAATTGCTAACCAGATCCTGACATTTTCAAATCGGACCCATTTCTTAGTGATCCAGAAGTACACCAGGGTGCAACACGAGCTGCATTTCAATTAGGCAACTCAACATTTTAAAAGAAGTAAAAGAAGCAGTGCACATGCATCCCCAAAGCATTGCTAAAATAAAAAAGTTTGATGGTTTTCTATTGCCTCCTCTAGACTGTTTTGTTTGTGAGGATTTATTGATAAAATGTTAGTCTCTCTGAATTTTGATGCATTTGAAATGTTTAAGAACATCTCTTTAAGGAACTTTTTCTGCAACCTTTAACTTTTTCTAGTGGTTACTCTTATAGCAATCTGTTCAAATGAAGGGTGGGACACCCTGTGATAGCATAAGCTTTCCCTTTCAAAGAGGTAATTTGATTCATTTCTGAATCAAACATTGATTCACAAGCTCTCAGCATCCAAAACCAGTAGAGGAAAATACATATCTATATTTTTTAAAAAAGAACACTCGTGCTTTTGGCCTATTGGGCCTGGGTGATGATAAATAGGTAAAAGGTATCTTTTAGACTTGAGTTTGGAGAAAATCATCTTACAAGTGTGAGGAGGAAGAATGAGAAAAATTAATATTTGCTTCTATTGTACAGAGCAGGAGTGGAAACTGTAAAAATATTTTCCACTTCAATTCAGTAACTATGGAAAATACTGCTCTAGATGAGGAAAGAAAGCAGGAAACAAAATATGTTCGGAAAAGTGGAAAATACTTTTATATGATTACCTCTTATTTTCTTATTATTTACTTGCAAAATTTTCCAGCTGATTAGTCTGACTTTTATTTCTGCCCTTCTCCCTTTTTTCTTTAAGAAGTGCCAGTCTTTTTCCCCCTGAAAAAAGGTGAATTCTTGGCTCAGTCTAGGGAGGTCTGTTGCTCTTTTTCTCCTGCGGACGAAATTACAATTTTCCTTAAGCTGTGGGTCTGCTTATTGAAACAAGGAGAGAAAGAAAGATGACAGAAATCAGCTGCAGGCTTCTTTTAAAGATCAGACTTCAACCTTTCATATACAGGGATTTCACCTTTCCTGCATGAAAATACCAGATTTGCATATATGTCATAATGTTTTTGTGTATTGAACTATGAAAGTGTAGCTTTAGACAAATGAAGTTAAAAACTGCCTTAAAATAACAGTTGTTTTCTCTATGACTGTTTTTACTTCTTAGAGGATTGAGAGAAGTGCTTTAATCTATTTCTGTGAAAGCATTTGGAATACATAATTTATATTTTCCTAGCATGCAGTGTTGTAGTTGTTGTAATATTGCTGTCAAAGCTACCGTTCCCAGTTTAAGTCCATCTCTCCTCAAAGTGGATTTTTAGATGTGTTTGCATGTGATGTGAGTTTTGGAGTGACTAAAGCAGTGGTGATGATGTTGAGGGGTGTGTTGTTTAATGTAGTCTTTTAGGAGATAAAGTTAGCTTGAGAACACAGATAATTTGGACATATTTTGCTTTGCTCTCAAGTTGGCAGTGGATAATTTTCATACAACAGATGTGTTTGATTATGGCAACCTGGGGCGTGAAATGGCTTCTGATGCTAAAACTAGTGGATTTAATACAGTGCTGTGCTGTTACTTCTACTGCAGAGATGTCTAGACACCCAGCCAGGGAGCCAGGCTCCCAGGTACTGAGCCCTGAGTACCTGGGTAATAAAAAGCCTCTTCTACACTCTAACAGCTTTAAAAAATACCTGAAAAGCATGTTGGTCATTCCAAAATAAAGCAAACCAAACAAAACCTAAAGTCTGTCTTGGCTGTGAAACTCTTATGTGAGGAAAGAAAAGGAAGGCTTTGTTTGACTAATTCCCTCTCTGGGTTTGTTCCTTCTGGCACATCTCCAGCCTGCACAGCCCAGTGTGGATCCCATGCCTGTTCCACTGGTGACCATGTGAAATGTATATGTGATGATGCCTGGATTTTACAATGGGCTGTGACCTTTCACCAGCATCCTCTGTGTGGCATGGGATTTGTTTGTTTTAAAGAAGAAACACATGCAAATTAGTAGCTAATAATCCAAACCTATGTTTGGATATATGAAGTCTGCAATCCAGGATATGAAGTAATGAATAAATTGTTGTCATTGGTCCTTGTGGCTTCTAGCATTTTATCTGAGCCAAGTCAGCTGCTTCAGCAAATGCTTTCCTAGGCATGGCCCACTCCCACGTGAGCTGCTGCTGCTCTCCTGAATCAGCATTGTGCTGTTCTGACTGGAGCACAAATAGCAAATTTCCTGAGGGCATTGCTGCAGATGGGGCTCTCACTGCCAAGACAAGCAGACTGGGTGTTTGTGTACGTCTGCAACGTATCATTAAATGGGAGTCCCATTTCTGTGGCATTAGAGAATATTACCATGGATTTTGTTTTAAATTAAATGTGGTAGAAAACTGGGTGATTCTGACCAAGCCTGGAGAAGAGATGAATGCTTCTGGCCGGAGCAATGGTCACTGCCATCCATCACTTCTCCTCTCCTCAGTCTGACAGGAGACAAGGTGAACCTGAATCCCTTTGGGGGCACTCCTCCCCTTGTCATCTCTCCATCAAGCAGCAGTGTCACCTGCAGTGACAGCACTGACATGAGTAAGTGGCTTGCAGGGATACAAGGAAGCATCACAGTGAAGAAAATTTGTCAGCTTTAATTAGCAGGGTTGAATGATGTCTTGAAAGCCTGTAGGTATAAACAGACAAATAAGCTGGTAGAATTAAAAACAGATGTTAGATTTTAACTCCCTTAATAACAAAATCCCTCATGTCCTTCCCATTAAAAAAACCCCACCTAATTGTCGGCTAATGCCCAATTCTATTTATACATTTCTCATTAACATGAAGATTGAGCATAATATATTCAGGAAGATAACATGCTTTTTATTTGAATGGAGGTGGCTGTTGGTATTTATCAATTTTTTTTGCTGTCCCTTTGGTCCTAGCCTCTTGACTTAAAAACTGGCCAAACCATGTCTCGAATTCCATAAATTCTTGATCCTTCAGAAGAAGGTAAAAAAATTTCTCTACTAAAATCCTAGAAAAATGTAATCCAGAGTATTAGAAGACACTGAAAACTCTTAATGTGAAGCTCATTTAATGTAATACAAAGATGTTTTAAAATGAGAAACCCCTTCCAGACGTGCTGTTTTCAGAGTCCCTGTGCTTTCCAAAGCAAGCTGGTAATCATGACCATATGGAACTGGAAACTGGAGCAGGTCCAGTGCTCATGTGAACAGCAGGATTGCACAGCTCTGACCATGGCTGTGGCATGGGATGCAGCACAGGCTGTGCCAGCTGTATGCTTATTTAAAAAGGGGGAGGAAGTGGGAAGAAAAAACATCATGGCACCCCCAGCCCTCAGGTGAATTTGTCACATATCCACTTTGATTTATTTTGGAATTTTGTTATTGGCAAATGCCCCTTGAAGTGCAACTTGAAAGAGCTCAAGGCCAGGCTGGACAGGGCTTGGAGAAGCCTGTTCTAGTGGAAGGTGTCCCTACCCATGGCAGAGGGGTGGAGGCAGATCATCATCAAACCCTTCTGGGATTCTGTGAATGCTTTGTGTGCTAAGTCTACATAACATAAGAAAATTTAGGCTTTAATTTATCTCCAAGGTCTGGATTTGGGCTGGAGGTGCACAGTGTCTTGGAAGGAGGATCATGGAGATGAACGCAATCCTGGAGCAAAAGGCTTGCTCAATAAACCCAACCTGGAGACATGAAATGCTTCCTGATTGAGGAGATGCTTGTGTTTTCAGCAGTCTGTTACTGGGATGCCAAAAAAGACTGTATTCAGTAGAATCTGAAACATTAGAATTTTTTTCCTGGTTTTGGTTTTTAATAGTTGGTGAATTCCTTGGTCTATTCCCATAACATTATCTAGGGTTTCTCGTTTAATTTATTGAATATCAATAGTTTCAAAATTAACAAGAAATGAGGAAAAGAAACCCCAATCCCCAAGCTTGTGCCTCCTTGGCAGAGCAAGCTGTGCTACACATGTGCTTGCTGAAACTTGAGCAGGCTCTGTGCTCAAACCCTGAGCTGGAACCTGATCTGTGTCCATTTATGTGAAAGAGTCTTGCCATGAGCTCACTGGGCTTTACTTCACACTCTCTTTTTGTAGCAGAGGTTTATCAGCCAGTTTGAACCCTTGTGGGATTTTTTTTTTAAAGACTTCAGCTAGCTCATCCATTTGCTTTGTGTTTAGAAATCCAGCTGTGTTAATTCCTTAAACCTTCAGTCCATATTTTGGCAAATACATCTCTGCAGTTCACATCACATGGTCACAAGTACTTTTCTCTGTAACAAAGCTGGCCAGAAGGTCTACACTATCAGTGAGACAGAAAATACTGGTTAACCTAGAGAAACTAGAATCTCCTCCTGATATTTTACTGCCTTAATCTTGGAAAAGTTTAGCTTGTCTATGTATGTGGCTTTTAAGACTTGCAGTAAATACAACATTAGTAATGATAGAAGACAAAGTGTGTTTGAATTTTAGTTTTTGTTGAGAGGATTTCTATCCATGGACAGAACAGGCTCACATCTTTCAGTGTTGCAAACCACCTGGTGCTTCATAGTCTGATTCTTTGTCTCCCTTTGTAGATAGTATTCTCCTTTGGAAAAAACTAGGCAGAATACCATCCAGCCTGGTAGTTCCAGTAGAAATGCCCAGAAGACCTTCTTCTAAATACAAGTGTGTTTAGATTGTTAAAAACTACTAAATAAAAATATCTGTTTCAGGCAAAGTTGTGTGCTGTTTGCATCAAGGAGGGCAAGATGATTACTTTCTCTAGGCTGTGGGAGACCAGTAACATATGCCATCCTTACATCCACTTGGATTGATGAATACCAGATGGAAGTCATGCAGAATGTTTTCTGTAGTACACATAAGTATTGCTGGCAGCTTTTCAGTTTTTGATATAGCAAAAGACAGTTGTACTTGCTTTACTGAGTTGAGATAAATGCCTGCAGTCTCTAAAATCTGTCTAGGAGAACCATTGAAGCTCTGAAAGTTTTCAGTGATCCTTCCTTTATTGTTGAAGGATCAAGACTCTGGCTATCACTGAATACAAGTGCTTGGTACAGACAATCTCTTAGTAGCCATTAGTGCAGATGAGTGGCTTTTTTTTCATTAATTTTTATTTAAATCTTAGATGTTCATTCTGGTTTTCCTCCAGTAACCAAAGATGAATGTTGAAATATTCACTAAATTGCCTTTCATGAATAACACTTGACTGCTGAATTTAATTCTTCTGTTTCTTTTCCCCAGAACTTTGTCCATCTTTTCTTTTTGGGTCTTGCAGCTGCATTTAATTTGCATCAGTGGAGTCATCAATTGTGACCTAAAACAATGAACTGTGCAGTGCCAGCAGAGTCATCTTTTGTGAATGCTCCTGACTTTGCTTTTCTGACTGTGCTCACTTTCTAACTGTGCTTTGATTACAGCAGTAACAACGAATCTGGAGGTATTATTAGCATTATTATTATTAGAGTGGTGGTCTATTGAAATACCCTCAAGTGCAGCTGTTTTGTCACTGCTTTTGATGGTCCCTTCCTCAGTGGTTTGCTCTCAAGGGGTTTAACTGGCTGTTATTTTGTGACTCCTAGTTTTTAAGAGAATGGTTGGCAGTGATTTCTCTTCTGTAACCTTAGCTTGGGATTTGGGTGTGATTTCCATGTGGCTGTTATTTGTTTCCACCAGCCCCATTTGTGACTGTTTGACATAATTCAGTTAAGACCAGTTTGACATAATTTCAGGTGAGACTAGAAATAAATAATAATAAATAATGGAAATAATAAATAATGGAAATTCATACTGAAAAACTGGCTGATACACTGGCTGCTGTGGCCTGCTTGTGCAAGGGTTCAAAAGAGACTGAACCATGCGGTGGTTTGAGGAAAAACAGTTCTGTAGCCCATTTCCTTTGGGAAAAAGGAGTGGGATTATTAATAGCCACAAAGACTTACTCTGGGGAACTGCAAATTGTCTCCAGTTGCTGAGAGCAGCCCAGTCTCCCACAGCAGGGGAGTGTGTATTACCTCCCACAGTCACCAAATCCAGCCAGTTCTTTGCCATGGAAGAGCTCAGCTGCTGCTGACAAAGGAAACTGCACAAAAGCAGAGTGGCCAAGACAAGGAAAGGGTCGAGAAAGTTTGTTTTTGGGTGGGCTTTAGCCTTGGCCCTTTCAAACCCACTGCACTTGAGTGTGAATTTTTGGAAGGTGGTGGCTTGTACAGTGCTGTTAAAGAACAAGCTGATCATATTGGATTAATTTGTTAGGCCCATGTGCCAGTCCAGAACAAACCAGGACATTTGGACAATGGTACACTATGGACACTGATCCCTGAGCTTGTGCAGATCAAATCATTGTCCAGCTCAGCATTTGCTGCTTTCACAGTGTGGTGTTTATGGAGCTGTACTGGAAGCAAATAAAAGAATACCAATGCTGTTTTGCAGGGATAGTGAATGATACTCCAGATGATTTCAGTGATGAACATTTATCACAGCATGCAGTTATATTGGTACAACTGAGGGAAAGAGCAGAAAACTGCAGCATTTTAATGAGGGCAAGAAGGGAGAGGTGGAGTGAAGCAGGAACTTCTCATGCTGGCTTTGCCACAAAGGAATACACGTTGTGCAACTCTGCTCTGCAAATTAAATGTTCTGCTTTCATGCCCTTCTTATTCTGCAGGCCTTAATTAAAACCCCATTTCCTTTGATTCATGGACTCAAAACTGGGTAATGACGTTAAACAAACAAGTATCTGACTAAATTTCTATCTACCAGATTAATTTTATAATAGCTTAGCGAATAATGGCATATCATTAAGGGTGGATAGTGTAATTAAAAGCAAGTAAGATTGACAATGGAAGTGGCCATCTTTCTGGGATCTTGTTGATTTCAGTTTGCTTTTCAAGAAAAAGAAAAGAAGGTGCATTTTTCATCACAAATTACTTAAATTTTGCAATTATCCCACCACAAAATGTGCATTCATTTCCCAATTACTTGAAAAACAAAAAATGAATGTGGAATGACCATATTTCTGAATAGTGAGGCAGACAAGCCAAAAAATCATCATATGCTTCAAAAATTGATTATCAATGAGTTCTTTGTCCAAGCCTACTTTCAAGACTATAAACAGTATCATACCTAGGATAAAAAGATCAGTGGCTGATGTAAACTAAATTCAGCTAATTAACCCAAGATGATATTGTTTACCTTCTCAGCTGTTTTCTGGTAGCTTGTTGGCTCTCCATTTGCCTGATTAGTGTCAAGCATTGTTGCAGCCACTATTAAAGCAGAGCTGTCAGGGCAAACACAACCCCTTTGCCGTGTGTGCCATTTGCAGGTTAGTGTGCTGCATGGGGGTCATTTTTTGGTGGTGCTGGCTTGTTTGCTCTGTGGTCCCTGCTTTTTAGCTCTCACAGAGAGGAATCCTCCATGGTAATCTCATAATAATTCTTTGTTATATGAAGAAACACCTTCTCCCAATCAGGCCAGAGAATAGGGAAGCAAGCTTTGTGACACTTAAGCAGAATGTTTCTATAAACTATATTTGGCACATCTAGCTCTGGGGTTCCCAGCACAGGAAGGACATTGGCCTGTTGCAGCAAGCCCAGGTTGACTGGAGGGCTGGAGCAGTTCTGTAAGGAAAGGCAGGCATTGTTCAGCCAAGGCTTCAGGATGACCTAATTGCAGCCTTTCAGTTATCTGAAGGTTTAGATTAAGATATCAGGAAGAAATTCTTCCCTGTGAAGGTGAGGAGGCCCTGGCACAGGGTGCCAAGAGTAGCTGTGGCTGCCCCATCTCTGGAAATGTCCAAGGCCAGGATGGATGGGGCTTGGGGCAACCTGGGCTAGTGAAAGGTGTCCCTACCCATTGCAAGGACTTGGAACTATTTAATCTTTTATGTCCCAAATAATTCTGGTGTTTTGTATTTTGGAAGGAGTCCTTATTTTAGGTTAGGACTTCTGCATTAAAATAAGCAACATGCTGTGCTGGACACTGCAGGAGTTGATCATGTTCCTGCATCCATCCCTATTATGTAGTTGAAAGTGAGTTTGTGTACAGAAATGGCTGTAGCTTCCTTCTAGGTGTGTGGGAGCTTGATGAGTTGTCTTCTGTACAAGAAGTGGAAATAGAAAATGTTTTTTGTTTCACAGAGAATTGTCTTAATTGCCTTTTTTTTGAAACAGGTTTGGTACTTCATTTAGCTGGTGAGTCCAGATAAAATGAGGCATAGTAGAGTATCTATGCAGGAAAACATTGCTCAAAGGGTGATTGTATGCTGTAAGAATAACATTGTGTTAGCCTCTATTTCCTTTTAACTTTTAGAATCAAGCTATTGGTTCTTCCAATAGTTAAAAATCTTTCCAATAACTTACAAATCTACTTGGTAACAAAAAGCTGACTTAATCACTTGATTTCAACAACTGAGTCCTAACAGAAGTGTTGCACAGAGCCAAATTTATTCATAAACTTCAGCCACTGCTGATATTGGTGCTCTGGTTTCTGCAACACCTGGATGGTGATTATGGAGGAATCTCCCAGTACCAGTCTGAAAGACTTCCAGTATGAGATTTAGCAAAAGATTGTCCCTCTGTTCTGCAAGGACTCCTTGCACAAAGACAACTTGCCTTGATGTTCAGGCCCAAACCCAAGCTACATCTATTCTCCTCATGGAACAGGGTGCAGCACACCTTTGATTAGCCCTTGATATTTTACTGGCTCAGGCTGCTCACATCTGTCACGTACCCTATGCAAAATAATAGTCCAGAATCAGAACTTCTGTGCTTCAATATGTGTGTAGGCTGTTCAGCTTGTCATGATTGTCAGTCTCCAGCTTCTTTCCCTTGCATTACACCAGCCAGCTGGAACTCTGATAAAGGAGTTATGTACAGTGATGACAAGAATTGATTTCCAATTTCCTGTAGAATGACTCTATCATCACTTGTGACTCAGGCAATTTAGTTTATATTACAGTGCTGTCTGGGGGCTGTAGATCACCCTGACAGTCATCTAGTCACAGGGCATGCTGATTTTGACGAGATATTGAAAGGGATTTTACAAGATTTTCCTTTGTGATACAACTCAAAGTACCTTTTTCTATTGTTGGCTCACGTGTAAAGAGATTTTGTATGAGACAGAAGTATTAGGCTCAGTTTGTCTAATTTTCCCTTAATCTTTGTGTTTGAGAACCTGTGAAAAGCTGAGTAGATTTCTTGTGTTGGATCTGGTTTAGAACCTGTAGCGTCTGTGTTAGGTCAGACAGAAGTCTCAGGGTCTTTTCTGGAGTGGAGGTGGCAGATGCTTAGGGCAAGAATGTAAGAAAGAGACAGGTAGGAGTGGTCCATTCCTGGGAAATGCTGCCATCAGCTGTCTGGAAACCTTGCTGGGTTGGGTGAGCAGTGCCATACAGAAACCTCATTCAGGTTTGCATTTGCTAAATGATGTTCTGATTTGCTCTGTCAATGCTGGTTACTCTGCACTTTAGTGACCTCATCCATCATCTTCTGACACTGCTGACCTGGAGCTGCTTGTGGAGCTGGTGGGAGCCTGGTGTGCTGCTGCTGCAAACACTGCCCCTGTCCACTGCTAACTGGAGCACAAAGCCCAGCTGAGGAGAGCACTGAGGGGCAGGCAGTGAGTGATTTGGGCTTCTCTGACATTCAGTTATAAAAAGCCAGGACTGGATTTGTGCTGGGAAGTTCTTCCAGCTTCCCAGCCATGGCTGAAGTACAGGATTTGATAAGCTAAACCTGTATGTATCCCTTGGTTATATGTATGGAAGGGCTCGAGGAACACTATAATTAGTATATCACAACATACTTACTTTTCTACCTAATGCAATGACATTTCTTCCCCTGCCTTAGTAATTAATTAATGTTTGGAAAATATTTAAGAAATGTAAAGCTCCCAGTAAGAGGTAAATGCTATTAATTGTAATTGCCAAGTAGATTATTTCTCAGCTTTCACATGGTTCTGTTCCCTCTGGTTAAACACCGAGGGATGTTTCCCTTCAGGGTAGCTCCATAACTCCTGTTCTCATTGCATGGCTGAGATAATACAGTTTGTGCTTGTTTTGTCAGCAGGAGGGGGAGACAACTACAGTGCTAGAAGTTTTCCAAGGGTTGCTCAGGTGTCTTTTAATTATGGTGAGGTAAAAATATCTTGTCTGCAAAACAGTCCAGATTGCTGAATTAATATCCCAGCTGGGTCTCTAACCTGAGTGATCACCTCACCTGCATTTCTGCAGATTGCAGACTTGTGCAGAGAGTGGTTCAGCTTGGCTATCCCCAAAATGATTTCTCACCTTCATTTTCCTGTGCTCCATCCCCTGTACATGAACCCCTGACACTGTGGCTCATGTTGTGCTGCATTAATGGCTTCAGAGGACTGAACATGGCAGTAAAATGGCTCTGTTCATACCTGCCAGGTATGAGCTGTATTAAACAGTGCATGTGATGCATTTTTAGCCAGTGATCAAAGGGATTGGGGAAGACATACCCCAGGGATCTTATTTAATTGCTGTTAAAAGGATTTTAATAGACAAATGAAGGATTGTTGAGAGGACAGCATGGTGGGGGAACTGCTCTCACTTGTGGATATTCTGTCTGTTGCCTCATTGCATTGCAGAGATGAGCTAAGAAACTCACCCCACTGGGCTGCTGCAGTGGATGACACAAGCCCTTCAGGAAGGTCAGCCTGGGAGGTGGCAGCAGAATTTGTCCTTTGTGTGAGAGAGCAGCAGGAATGCCTGGAGCTCTGCCTTGAGGTGGATGATGAGCCAGGGGAGAGTTTCAGGTCAAGGTTAGCAGGAGGACTTCCTTTTACCAATATTGTGATGGGTGTCTGCCATGGATTCCCTGATTAGGAAAAAGAAGTGGGGCAGGAGGAAGAAACCTTGTGTTTGGAGGCCCCTCTCCTTGTGGAAAACTTTGCCCACCTCAATATCTGCTGCATCCCAGCAAGACACAAGCAATCAAATGGTTTCTCAAGTACATTGTTGAAAAATTTCTTTGCAAAGGGATCAAGGAGCTGACCAGGGGAGCTGCTCTGCTCCTCACACTTAAAAACGAGAAAGAACTGTTGGGTGAGTCTGGGAAGGTGAGCTCAGAGACAGCAAGGTTGAGATGGTGGAGTTCAGAATGCTAAGGGTGATTTAATCTCTGCTCTTTCTGGCCAGTCAGATTTGTGAGTGCTGGAGCTCACTGGCAGGTAGCAGATGATCCCTGCAGCTGCAGGGGTCTGCCAGAACCTCAGGTATGAGCTCAGATGACCTTCCTCAGAGCCTGAAGTGAAAGGGGAGCTGGGCACTCAGGGAGGGGTGGACACACACTCTTGTAGGGATGGCTGCAGAGTCTGTGAGCACTACAGGACATCCAGAGCCATGAAGAAATTCTGATCCCTGTGTCCTACTGACCTTTTTTTCACTGATCTGTCTCGCTTGGCAGGCACGCTGTTAGGAAGTCTTCTGCCCACAGATGATTGCATCAAGGCAGGGACAATTCAAGGTGTAAAGCTCTGGGGACAGAGTTACTGTGGAGCTGGTACATGGAAGCAGCTGCCAGTGCTCCTCCTTTGGCTGTCTCCAGGGAAATGGGTGTAGGAAATTCCTCCTTCTCAATGAACTGCATGGAAATGGAGTTCTCCAGTGGAGTGCTCTTCACTTGGCAAGTTTTTTCTCTAGTGATATCCACTTAGTTCCTAACAAAAATGTATTCAGAAGATTAGTGGCAGTACACTTGGAAGCTGGAACCACTCAGGACTAATGATATAATTACTCTCAAAAGCCATTTGTAAAGCAATTATGTGCTATTGTTCTCTTTTGTTCTGTATCTTTATAAAAGTGAGCCATCTTGGCAGGCTGTGATGGGCATGTGTTGAGCTGGCTGTTATGTAAGAATACAAATAATTTGTGTGCATATTTATAAAAGAAAAACAATGCTTTTACAGTGTGACTGATTTGTTTCGATGTAAAAATCTTTGTACAGGAACATGTTTGCTGTTTCAATTTCTGATGTAGCTGGTGTTTTTCAATACATAGTCTTGTAATTTCTGTAGAAAATTTTGTGGGTTTATTTAGCTGCTCTTCACAGCCCAGGCTGTTTCTATGCATGTGCAATATAGTGTGGGGAGTGCTGTGCTTGTTACCTGATTAAATGTTAATTTATTTAAGTTTTTTTAAAAAGATTTTTTTAAAGTTTTATTTGTTTAAGGTTCTTTTTTAAAACTTTTTTCTTGTGTTTTGTCCTGATCCTGCTTGTGTGCTACCACAAGGAACAGGCCTGATGATGGAGTTCAGCCACAAATTTTATATGTGGAATGAATTTTTTTTCCTGTTGAAGTCTGAATGCCATATGTGACCCAAACCATTAGGAAGCACCTTCCAGTGAATATTGCTGAGCTATGTAGAAATCATCCTGAAAGTATTTCAGGTGTATACATGAGAGGCTGCTCATTGAAGCATCATACAATTCTTTGAAGTGGAGGTGCCTGCAGCACTAATAATAGAGAAATTTGGCATGATAGCAGGGAAAAGCTGTCATGAGGCATTGTCAGTTCACCTGCCAAAGCCTTTTAAGTGCTAATTTAGATATCCACACCAAACTTAGACCAGAGATGCTTTGCAAATCTGAACTAAGCTACTTCAGGAAAAGGAGCTTCTCTTGTTTAAAACACAATGGAAGAAGATAACAGGAAAAGAACACACAACTGACATATGAAATGCCTTCTTTGATGGCTCATACTGTCACACTGCATGAATGTGTGTGTTTGCCCTTTCTGCCCCTCTCAGCCTGTAATGTCTCTTAACCAAATTTAACCAGATTTGGAGAAAGGCACTCAAATGTACTATGTTCCTGCAGGAGAATAATTGCTGAAAACCATCTGTGAGCAAAAGCCCGGGGTGTGAGCTGACTTCTTGCACTGGACCCCCAAGGGAAATTGTTCTTCTGTGTGTCTGAACTGTGGGAAAGCTTTCCCATGCCAGGGAGCAGCAAGAGCAGGACAGGCAGGGAGTTAAGGCTGGAGACAGCAAAGAGCAGCACAGTGGAGAGGCAGAACACCACAGCACCTGGGCTGGATGAGCAGAGCTGGAAAGTCAAGTGGTTTTTTTCCAAAGAACCCTTAACAAAATATTTTTCTGTGCATGCTGTTTCTGATGATGTAGATACACAATGGTTTCTTAGAACTGCTTGTCTTAAGGAAGAGATTCTTGCCAAGAATGAACATCAACATTTGTTTCAGCAAACACTGCTTGCTTCCTGCCCGGTCTGCGTGCAGCCTTGGAGGGAAAAGCAAACACATGGTATTTGCAAAAGATGTATTTTATTTGAACAAAATTTTGCCCACATTTTCACATATGATGACAGTGAATTCACATATCTGTAAGTGGCTTTTTGGAGCTGATAACATCTAGAGCAGGAGTGGGAGTAATTTATACGGAAATTATTTGCCATACGTGTCTGTTGGAGCCATTTACTAAAAAAAATATTAATTGTAATTAAATTAATCTGGTCCTGTGGAAATATAATTTTGACAAAGTGTGTTTCTTACTGCCACAGACTGCTGTTAGCTCAGAGTTTTATGTGTTGTTAGTAATTTAAATACTGTACCAGTCAAAATAACTGCAAATTGCTGGTACCAGATGTCATCAATGCAGAAAATAATTTCTCCATCCTACCTTTATTTTCAGTAATGTAATGGAAAATATTGAAGATATTGTGCAGTTAATTAGGACATTAACTTTTATCTAGTAATCTTATATTTTGTTTTCTAAAGAAAATGTTTTCTTCTGTATGGAGCTCAGGGGATGAAGCATAACATTGTTATTAATTCCCTGACTGGAGGAACTGGTGGGGAAGATGCAGATAACTTGAAGTCACTCTTCCTATGTACCAGCTTATGTGCATAAATTAAAATATCACTGAGGAGATGGGGAGAACTGGGCCAGCTTTCAGTGGAGCCCTTGGCCTTGGAAGCACCATGATTTTGACATGGAAGTTTGAGGCTTCAATGTAGAATGTGAACAAGCTGAGGAACCTTGGATCTGTTTGCACAAGTGGTGAGGAGTTAGTCTGGGGGCTGTGGGTGCAGAAGGGGAGCCACAGGGATGGACTTGCATCTTCATCATCCTCTGAGGGTTCCTGAGGGACTAAAGTATCAACCTGAGAACAACCACACAGAGGGTCTAGAGGGTCTAGACCGTTCTAGAGGGTCTAGACCGTTCTAGACGGTTCTAGAGCGTTCTAGAGCGTTCTAGAGGTTCTAGAGCGTTCTAGAGGTTCTAGAGCGTTCTAGAGGTTCTAGAGCGTTCTAGAGGTTCTAGAGCGTTCTAGAGGTTCTAGACTGTTCTAGAGCGTTCTAGACTGTTCTAGAGCGTTCTAGACTGTTCTAGAGCGTTCTAGAGCGTTCTAGAGGTTCTAGACTGTTCTAGAGGTTCTAGACTGTTCTAGACTGTTCTAGAGGTTCTAGACTGTTCTAGAGGTTCTAGACTGTTCCAGACGTTCCAGACGCACTGGGAACACTGGGAAGCCCACTGAGGAACCATTGCAGGTCTTGATTGTCCTCAACCTGCACAGGAATGGACTTGGACAGGGTCCCCGTGGCAAGAGCCATCCAAAAGTACTGAATAGAATGTTTCAAAATGTCTTTTTATAACATCAGTAGTTTGGGATATGTGATTTAATTCATCTGTGAATATTATAGAAGTCTGGATTTTTTTTCATGCATGATATGGGAATTAATTTTTTGCTGTTTTAACACTTGTAGAAGTTAACAAAACAATTAACAAAATTTCCCAGCTTAGAAAGAGCTTTGACTATGTAACCTACTATCTGTATAATTTCCTCTTTGTACTTGTTGCTGAAGTGCATTTGTTGCTTATTTTAGTTTTCTTCCCCAGTGAAAAATCAATTTTATTATGTTAGCACTGTGTTTTAAACCACTGTGCAATTTCTATTTTATTATTTAAAAGTGGAACAGCCTTAGAATCTTCTTCAGGGTAGAAAAATTAGTTAATAGAGAAAAGGCAGATGGAGAAAAAGAAAAGCTTGGCAGGGAGTGGGGAGATGTGAGACCTTCCAGGGAAGCCTGTTGAGCATGTTTGAGAGGAAATCTGTGCAAGCATGGCCTTGTTCCTTTTGTCCTTTGGATCCATGTGGTTCATAGCCATGATGAGCATGGTGAACCTCAATGACATTTAATGTATAATAAGAAATTATTTTGCTGGTCTCACTTGGGGATATGATTTTATTACTAGACTCAGATCTATTCCTTTTCTTCTTTTGTAAGGCTTTCTGGGATGAGAGTCCCTTCCTAACAAAATTGAAGAGTTAATGCAGAATTATTTTCTTCTTTTCTTGTTTTGCCATAGGTAGTTAATAATAACAGCAAAAGAAAATAGGAGAGTAAATAGGAGTAAATTCCACACAGTGAGAAAACTGAAGAATGTGAAGGACTTGCCCTTTGTACAGTAAAACATATACTGTACTTTGAGTTTTTTGTTTCATATAATTATGAGAAACTAGTGTGGATGCTTTTCTTCTAATTGGTAACTTTAAATTGACAGTTCATTGTAGATGGGATAATCAGTTGAATTTGCATTTCTGAACTTGCAGAACAGTTTTGCAAGAGTTCTTAGAGAATCTTTTAGCTCTGTTCCTCAATGTTCCTGGTAAGAATAGAATTGCAGAATTAATATTCCAATGTTTATTAACATCTGTGGGGTCACTTTCAGTATAATTCTTTGTTTTCTTGTCACTCCTAATCTGCTTCTAAAATGGCACTGGAAAGCAAGTAACATTTGTAATCCACCTCTGCACCAGCTCATGTGAAGGGGATGTAATTAAACATATTTTTGACGATTATGGCATGTAATAAATGACCCTGACCTGACTAAGGAACAACATTGATCTGGACTACTTAAAAGCAGCTAATGCCAAAAAGTCTTTAGAAGCAAATGCCTCTTGAAGATCACCAGGAGGCAAGAGAAACTCCCCAGAGCTGCAGCTTTTCATGGTGTACAATATGTTTGATCACTGATCTGTGCTGGCTGGTGTAATGTGGATTTATAAATCCTGATGGAACTACTTCCATTCCCCTTTGGTACAGATAATGACCCCTGGGATATTTAGTTTCAAGAGACGTCGCTTTAAAAGAGAGGTTTGATTAAGGTACACAAAACAGGTCTTCAGTGGGTGCAAACAGAAATACAGGAAATTCTATTTAATCCTAAGAAGAAGCAATTTTACTGCAAGAGGGTGACCAAACACTGGAGGAACAGGTTGTCTGAAAGGGACATCCTTGGAGATACTCCAAACCAAACAAGACACAGCACTGAACATGCTGTAGGCTTCACACAGTGGGATTGGACTAAGTGATCTCCAGAGGGGCCTTCCAACCTCAGTGACTCTAAGATGAGCCACAGTCACCTGGCATACCCTTTTTCATTATTATGAAGTATTTTGTTCTTCTTTCCTGCCCCAGAAAGAGTTCAGCAGAAGAAAGAGAGGATGTGAAGATAGAATGAATTTTACCAAGCTTAGGATTTTCATCTGTGTGGAATGTAACTCATTCAATACTTGTTTATACCTCTGTGCTGGGGGGAGGACAAATTGTGGATTAATTAGCTTGTGCAATACTGGCTGTGCAAGTTCATGTGTGGTCTGCTCCTAGAAATGAGAAAAGGCTGCTGAAAATTTTAAGGAAAAGAAAAGCATGGAACTGGAAGGGAAAATAATGGTCTTTGTGAATCACCTAGGAGTATATGTTCATTCTGAGCACATACTTGGCTCAGCAGGTGGTGTTATTTACTGACCAAAGAACATCAGTCAGTGTGGCAAGCTATGGTCATTTGAAATCAGAAAAAAACATAATAATAAATACTGATTATATAGCTCCTATCTTTAAATTATTGCCCACAGTAGGTGGAGAAGATTGAAATTATAGTGGTGATTAAAAATGAGCAGACAGAAACTTAGCCAAGTAGTCTGACAGTTTGGAGAAATATCCAGAACTAAGTGGAAGGAATCTGCAACCTCTGCAGTGCCTCATTGTGCACCCAAAGCACGGCTGCCAGTGGTGGGAAAGGCAAGGCAGCAGGACATAATCAGAGATTAATGGTATATTCTCTGCTTGTCTCCAAATGGTTTGTGAATGAACACACTTGGAGAAGCAAAACATTGGATCTGTGGGATGTGCACTAAAGTTTCAGATTTCTTGAATGTGGTATTTGGTGGATACAAAAGATCATTCTGGGTGGTTACAGCAGAGAGTTCTATTTTGTATTGGAAGATTAAAACAGTTCTGTAGGAATTGTTATGAAATCTCAAAACTTAGGAAGAATGGGACTCTCATTATTTCATGTGGGCAGAGGAGATAAAGAGCTTGAGATGGACTGTTTGGAAAAACTTGACATGAAATAAGTATGTAGCATCTCTAAAAATCAAATATGTCTCCTTCCAGTGCTTCCTAAGAGGAGAGGATTTGAAGGAGAAGAGGTTGTCAGTGGCTCATATTCTGTGAAAAGTTCTGCATGTTTGGGAGGTCAAAACACATCACTGCTCCTGCATGGCCCATCAGGAGGGGCTTCTAGCAAAACCTAGAAATTCATCTCTTTGGCATCTCACGTGTGCAGGTGTTTAAAAGCCTGTGACATCAAGTGTTCCCCACTAAGTACTCAGGTGTGCTCACTAGGAACCAGCTGGGAGCAAGTGCTTAACTTAATGAACTGGAACAAAAATGCTTCAGGGTCTTTGTAAGACAGGCTGGGGCCTTGGTTTGTCTGTAGAGGAATTGGTTGGCCTCACAAACATTTTCAGGGATTCCCATCCAATATGCACACAGCGCCTTGGTCAAGTGCAGAGTATTTCCCTGCAATTAAAACAAAGTTCTTCCATTAATGTGAGGTTTAGAATTGTTCTGTAAATGATGTAACTGTTTGTTGTTTACTGAAGTTATCTGATCTTTCTAGAGCAACTCGGCAATCTAAAATGAATTGTGGGGTCTATATAACCATACTTGGGTGGGCAGTTCTCAGTCTGTATGGTACTGAAGAGTCAGAGCCCATAATATTTCAACACATGAATGCTCCCTTCCAAGCTCCAGGCTTGTCTTTCCTTCTGGCACCTCTTCCCCTCTTATGCCATTGACTGTTTCCAGACACTTTCCTATGGTAGTGTATTATGGTGAATCACTCCAGCTGAAGAACTGAAGTGGGAGAAATGGAACATAATGTACATTGCAAGCCTAAATATCTGAGGCTGAACTTGAATTGTAGCTGTTTGAACAACTGGGAATGCAGCTTGAACTGAGCCCAACCAGTGACGGAGCAGCTACAACACCTTGTAAATATAACCAAGTGGCAAATCAGTTTGAATATTTTCAGTGACCTGTCAACACATGGTCTGCAAGTGTGAGTTATTTGTGAGCAGTTTTGTGTAATGTATACCTGCAGAATTTCACAAAATGTTCAAAGAGAGATGAAAGGTGAAATGCAGTGAATAAATTATTCATAACAATTATCCACTTAGCTCTATTCATCACTGAGATGAGACAGAATTATTGACTGGACATGGAAACAAAATTTCATTTCAGAGAGATGATATTAAAATACCTGTGTGTTAGTGTAATTATGCTGTGACTGTAAAGACTTTACTATTCTGCAGTAAAATATGCCATGGGCATTGCTGCAAGATTGATATTCTCTATGGCTAGTAAACTGGATTTTTCCTTTAGCTACATAATGGAATATAGGTACTCCATTGATCTCCTCCTTTAGTGAGACAAATTTTTGCATATTTCCTTTGTTTATAATTGGCTGGTAGGCAAATACTGTGCTCAGCTGGATGGGATGGAGACTGGTTAAACTGGGAGTGGTAGATATGTAGGCTTTAAGAATTCTTCCTTGTGCTTGGATGTCAGTCTGCAAATCCTGTGATGGGTGAAGAGAGTTCCTTCTCTCACCACTTGAATGTTCAGCATGTGAGTATGGATCCTGCTCCAGCTCTGAGTGTGTGACATCTGCACTGACACGTGAATAATCTGGCCAGGAGGTTGGGAAGGAGCAGTTCAAATGTTCTCTTTAGTGCAGTTTCCATCCACATACAACCAATGGTTTTAAATGGTTATTTTAAATGTGTATTTATGTTTCTCCTACATAGGGGATGCTTCCTTTACTCAGCTCCTTAGGTTTTTGAAACATTTTGCCCTTGATTTGCTTTGTAACAAAAGCAAATATGTACAAAATGAATACTAGCACGCCTAGTGCAGCACATGCATGGCTATTTATTATTGGCATGACCCTAATAATCCAAGTTTTACAAGAAATTGATATGTCACTGTGCTAGGAGCTGCTTTTCTGCAGAAGGATCTTATATTTCCTGGAGATGTCCATGGGCACTGAAGGCTGCAGTCCTCATAAGCCATTGGTGTATTGAGGCAGAAATGATTCTTCTCTCAGCCACTGAGTCTTCCCTGCACTGTGAGCTCCTTGCTGCCTGGTCTGTCTCCTGCAGGTGTGCTGGAAGCATGGGATCACAGAAGGGTTCAGCTGGTTCTGAACTCCTTGCCTGAGGGACAGCACCTGGATAAAATGAGTTGTCTGATTTTTAGAACCACAAATGGAGCGTTGAGTGGATCCAAGCAGTTCATTTCAGATCAACACTTGAAATCAGTTGTCCTGGGCTTATTTTCAGAATGACATACTAGATAGAACTGCCATTTATCCAGTGCAGATGAGCACATATTGGTTTGTACTGGAAGGCCCAATTTGTTCCACCCCAGTTGATGTTGCCCTGAAAACAGGAAAGGGTCACACAGACTGCAGCAACACGTTTGATACTGGATTAGCTGAACTTTGGCTCTGGTTACTGCATTGCTTTCACTTACCAGTGGTAGACAGTCTTCCAGCAAAAAGGGGGGCTTTTCAAAATGGTAATAAAACCTTTAGTGCTCCATCATCATCATCTTGCAGGAAACAATGTCTAGATCAATCTATCTCCTTCTAAATCTTTAAAGAAACAAAATTTAAACTCATTTTGCCAAGGCCAAATGTCAATCATAAGAAAAAAATCTATATGAAATTTTAATTGCAAGATGTTCAGTGCAAATTTAATGAGTGAAATAAGAGATCTGAGAATTCAAGCATGCTCAGCTCATGCATAATGTTGACTTAAATTGGCTCTCTAGAGGTGCAGGGAATTGCGTTTTTAGAATTTACACACTGATAGAGCAAATGTACTGGGCCCTGTAGGTTAAGGTCATAAATCAGAATCATTTAACTGCCTTTGAGTGATTGCTACAGACTATAATGGTTGGGAGAACTGGCTTAATCTACAAGTGATCACTCTGCTTGGATTATTGAAATGCTACTCAATATTCATAAATCAGTGATCATTAATCCCCCAAATAGTTCCTGTCAGCTTTCTAAATAAATTTCCTACAGGCTAATTGAGATTGAAGGAGACTAGCTTGCACTGGTTCAGAATTAGGACAAATGAGTGCTTTGCCTACCTAGGATCAGAAAAACATCTATGGGGGAAATTGAACCATACTGGGTACGTAGGTGGCTGCTAAAATTGTCACATTTAAGCTGTTAACTGGAGAAGCCTTTCTTAGCAGGTTTTGCTCTCATGAGTTACAATGACTATAAAAAGACCTCTTTATTTTTTATGATGAAGACATTTGTGTGCTAAGCATCAGAAGCAGCTTAAGATGTCAGTGGGTGGCATTCCTCACAGCACAGAGGGCAGGGACAGAGACACAAGGACCTTTTAAATTCAGATAGTCAAGGTTGGAGTTTCTTCTGCTGTGAAAGTTTTTTTCTTCCTATTACAAGTGCTTCCATGCAGGATCTGTTTATAATGGAGAAAAGTTTATATTTTATTCTGTATTATTACTTAATTGCTTTGCTCGGTGTTACAGTTTGGTCAGTGATAAACTGTGAATACCCTTGTAATCTCTCAGGCTTCTGGTTAAACTCATCCTGAAACCAAAAGGCCTGGGAAATGCAGAGTTCAGGTCAACCCAGTCATTCCTTCTGACTTGAAACCTTTCCTGCCTTTGACTTTTTATTTAGGGAAGACCAAAGGAAATAGCAATAATATATTAAAAAATAAAAAGGCAATGGGGAATAGGAAAAATCAGGGTTTTTTAAAATTACTTTTTGTCATGATACAGCATGATGGCTGATTTTGCTGTGCAACAACATGGCACCCTCAGAAATAAAAGGAAAAAGAACATCTGTACAGAGGAGCCCCCGGGATGAGTGTGTGTGGGGAGCTGATCTCAGTAAAAGGGACTATAATGATTATATTTCTGAAATGATTGAGGCTAATAAATGTTGATATGTAAAAAGAAATGATCCTTTTTTATTAGTCCATTGGGGTGAGCTATAATTTTTTTATGTTCAAGCACTGATCAGAAATTGAAGTGACATATGGAATCAGAATTGAAATACAGCTCCGTGGAATACTTTGTCAGTAGGAAAAAATGCATATGATAAAGCTGCTGAATTTTTGGCATCAATTACAACACCAGCTTGTGAGCACTGGTGAGAGACATTTAGGCCCAGGTTTCAGCAGCATTGTGTTCTGAATGAATGGAGAATTTCAGATAACTGCATTTCCCTTCTCTGTTCCAAGTATGTGTGAGTTTTTATTAGACTGAATTGTAATCAGGAGCAGTCATTACATTGCTGCTTGGAAGGATAATTCCCAAGAATCTGAAATTAGAGTGAAATTCATGCTTTTACAAACTTGGAGCTTTTAAGCCTACCAGATTTTTCAGGATGTTTCACAGCTTGGTTCCAACGCTTATTTGAGAAGTGTAAATACTCTCCAGCCTAAACAGAAATGCCCAGGGGACTCTGTGTTCTGTTCTCTCTTGGCTGGAGCTGGTGTAAATGGTGTTACTCTTTTTTTGGAGGGCACAGCTGAAACCCAAACATGTCACAACTTGCCTAGGACTGTGGTTAAATACGATGGCTGATAAAATAAAAACCTTGGTGATGCACAATTCCATCCTGGATGACATTTTAGAATTAAATTATCCAGTGGCACTCCCTGAGCCTGGCATGTTCCGCAGGGAGGATCACACGGTACAACGCCTGTGTGGACACCTCCACCCAGAATGGCCCCAAGAGCTGAAAAACCCAGACCCAAACTTCCCTGGGACCCCAGCAGGTGAGTCCCTCTGGGGTCTGGAGGAAGAGTGGGTGCCATGGGTGGGAGTGTGGAGGCTCTGGAGCCGAAGGCAGTGATGGTGTGGACGGAGGCCTCTAAGGTGTGAACTTAAAGCATAAAAGGAAGGTTTTCCCTCACATAAAGATTGAAGCAAAAAGCTTTTCCCATAGTTCTTTGCACAACCACGTTACTGTACCCCAGTTGTATGTACCCAGCTGGCCTGTGGGCTGTACCTCCCCTTTTTACCTTATATGTCCTTTTTCTAGAATGTTCTCCCTTTCCTGCTTCCCCATTGGTCCCAGAGTGCTGCAATGCTCCGCCCCTGTGATCCCATTGGCTCTCCCTCCCCTGACCCCGCCTATGCACCACTTTCCCCTGTTCCTATTGGACCCTGGCCCTCAGCTCCACCCCCTCAAGCCTATATATACCCCTGGATCCTCCATTACTCTCTGGCTTTGTTCCTGGAGCCCTTCAGTGTGTGTGGCTGCTATAAACCGCACTGGAGCTCCATACAGAGACCCTTCCTGGCTCTCTGTCATCGCTGGGCTCTGTGTGGGTGTGATTGGGTGTGATTGGGTGTGATTGGGTGTGATTGGGTGTGATTGGGTGTGATTGATTGATGATGGCCTGCCCAGACACTTTCCTCTCTGGAGGCTCTTTTGGGAAGGTATCATCACCTGACCACCTCCACTGGACACCACCTGGGAGTGTCCCCAGCTGGGTGGACTCTTCAAGCAGTAGCCACGTGGTGGGAGAGCAAAACTGGCAGCAGGGCCTGGGCGTGTGTGGGACAGAAGGACAGGGAACGCTGTGTGCTGCCGCAAGCTGGGCACGAGTCTTGCCTTAAGTCTTCACAAGGGGAAGGTAAGTTTGCTTCCAGCCCTGGACTGACTGACTCGACTCACAAGACAAAGGAGGTTGGATTTCTCACTTCTGCTTGGGGCAGGAGGAGGAACTTTAAAGTGTTGTGTGCTCTGTGCTATTCCAAGCTTTTCTTTTTGGCAGGGAGAGAAAGGCAGGCCTGTTGTGCTGTAATAATAGTCACCCTCATTCTCTGAGGGTGCCATGTGTTGTGTTTTTGAGCCAAACATATTTCTGATGGTGTGATACCTAAATCTACTACCCAATATTTCCCATGCTTAAGTTTCAATAAAAGCCATTCCAAGTTGCCTGTATTCCAAACGGAGTGTGTAATCTCTTTATTATGCCTGGCCTGGCTTGCTGGGCACATGAATAAACCTGGCTGTGTGTCATGATAGCTGTTTGTATCGCCTGACAATAATTGGAACAGAGGTAAATAAAATCAGTGTTTTGTCTTCCCTAAGATTGGACTCATCAGCAGATGGGGAATGCTGCCATCCTTTCTTTATTTTTGGCAAGGACCTTCATAGCTGACAGACCCCTGCTACAATGGAAAGAGATGGTTCAATAACATTTAGGGAAGGACTAATAATATGGCAGTTATTTCAGCAATGCTTGGAATATGGTTTAATTCGATCATTTGAATGTATTTTTTAAAATCTTAAAGAAACCTGCTTTATTACCTGCCTCCTGGTTTGACATCTGTGTAGCAAAATGTGAGCATTTGGAATATGCAAACTGAAATCAAAGTGTAGAATTCCCTTTGAAGCTTGGATTCTCACTCTTTTCCCTCCCCACCTTTTAATATTTGGCCTGCTGTAATTTTATTTCTCTGAAATTTTTGGTGTAATTGAAAGAGTGTTAAAGGAACAAAGCAAATATTTACATTGCACAAACACCACTTGATGTGATTAGTTAAAAGCAATCTATTTAAAATTTAATATGTGTATTAAACATATGCACACACGGGTGAGCCAGTGGAGTAAGTTCTGTGTTTATGTGACCCAGAAGTTTCCAGGCTCTGGGAAGATTTTTGACAGTCTGACTTTGAGGTTTAAGGAGAAAACACACCTCTAATTCACTTGCTCCTGTGCTGCTCAGGGATCAGTTTTATCATCTTTAGGTCTTACACCTTCAGGTACTGGAGCTGCTGCCTGACTTGAGCAAATGGGTGACAGCCACAAGTTCCCTTTCCTGCTTTGCCTGAAGCTTGAGGAAATGTTGCTTTTATCTGTTCTCTTTTATGTTTGAGACAGAGATGGATGAGTAGGAGGGATGTGAGGAAACATGCAAGCTAACCCAGCCAAGTGATCCAAAAAACAGATCCTGGACGTGGAAAAGACATTGTTTTCTGGAGACAGCTGGCACTGACTGACCTTTTGAAGAGAGGGATGGTGATCTTTAAGAAAGTTGAATGATTCTCTTTTAAGCATTTAAAAATGACTTTGTGAAGTGTTTTATGGCAGATTAAGATAGGATAAGCAAGATCTTCGATTTTTCATACTTTTTTTTATTTCCTTGATGACTTTTACCAGCAATACTAGGGTATGGAAAACAGCATTTAACTAGTCCCAGGAGGCAATGAAATCAATGGAATTAAAGTAAATAGAAGAAAACCTCTCCAGATCTAAATCTCATGGTTTGTGCAAGGTTCTTTCTCGGCTCTTTGATGGATAAGTACTGCAGCTCCTCCACTTCTGGGCTTCTGACCACTTTTCCTGGTCTCTGTGGTCCAAGAGGTTGTGAAGCTTCAGCACTGAACAGCATTTTGGGGCTCAATTCTGACAGTGCCTCACCCCTCTGCTCAGGGGAGGTTGGAAATGGTGTTTTTTATTTAAAACTGGTTTATATATATAATTTTTAGTATTATAACTTTAAATAATTTTAAATAATATATTTTTTAAACAACAGCAGTAATTTCACCTTGCCATGCTCTTATAAGGGTCACCCATAAAATGCCTTGACCCCTTGCAGCAGGGATTGTCCCGAGGTTTGTTTTGTGCCAGCTGTGGTGGTTTTAGGAAAGACTTTGCTTGAGCACATCTTCAGAGGTGACACTGAAATGTCAGAGGGAATCTCCTTGTGGTTTAGGTCCCTCATGACAATCACATTGTGCAGGAATCTTCTTGAAGCATCCACCATCCAAAAAAGAATTTATCCATCAGGGAAACAGACATCTTTGTTATGGTTTTCACAATATTCTTATTATAATAGTCTAATACGGCTTCTGGGGAACTGAAGGGTCAGGATTCACCAAACCTGATCTGTTAATTAAAGGAGGCAATAATATTTAATATATATTATAAAGCCTGTTGCAGTAAATGGCTGGATTAAAAGAGTATCTTAACAAAATCGTGGAGCACAGAGAAGGAGCCATGTAGTGTTTTTGTACTGGATGCCTCTTTTTCTTATGATCCTCTTTTAATGTGGCTTTGAAAATTGCCCAGCAGTACAGCATTATTTGGCTTTGCTTCAAGTGCTAAGACACATTTTCTTTTTTTTAACCTAAAGGACACCTTTATATGGAGTATAAAAATCACAATATCACAAGTAAAGGACCATTAACTAAGTGTAATGCTGGGGGGGAGGTATGCTTTGAACATTGTTTCCATTATTCAGAACAGATCAAGTTTCAGCCCAAATAGAAATGAAAGGCTATTGAGGAAACGTTGCAAATACCTGAAATTCTAACTTTTACTTTGCTTTTGTTAACTATGTGTCATTAAGGAAGAAAGGAAAATTGTTAAGAGGCTGTGCCATTGCAAGTGATACAACCATGACCCTGTCTTAAGTGTCAGCATGTGTGAAAGTCCATTAGTAGTCACAAAATTCCCTGAACTTTTAAAATGTTTTTCTTTGATACATCAAGCTAAAAGGAGTAACATATTCTTGAAAGCACAAGAAAACTTCAGGTATTTGCCCAATATTAATCACATATGGGGTTGTATTTCTGCCTGATGATAAAATGATGTAATTGTGTCTCATGGAAAATGGTTTCTTACCACTGAGGGATTGTTAGATTTTACAAATTCCATGCTGCTTTTGATTGGTTTGGAAGGTAAGGGAATTATAGAAATGTACAAGTGTAGCCTTAGGCTCATAGTGCTGACTTCTCAATAACTCATTCCTAGGGGCTTTATTTATCAATTTTTAGATAGTATACTGGTGAACTTTTGAACATTTCCCCTCTTTGGTGGTGTTGCCAGGCTGTCTGACTTTTGTTCTAACCAAATTTTACCCAGCACACTAGGCAGAAGCTCACTTCATGAAATGCTGGAGATAATGTTTTACTTTATTTTTGGGACTGTTCAGTGCTCAACCATCAGATAATGGCCATTTGAAGATGTTTTTGAAGCACTAGACATTTATTCTTGTTCATGAATGTGAATGTGTGGGGCTGATTTTATTGAAATTTGACCTAATTTATGGTTTGTCAATTGGCTGTCCACAAAGTACAGTCAACCAGCAATTCCTTTGGGTACAGCATTCCAGCACATTCTGCTACCAGTTTTGTAGAGAGGGAATGCTGATATTTGTTCTTTCCTTACCCTTTCTAGAGAGCAGATGTTTGTGCTTTCTCACAAGACCATTGCTTTTCAGTAGCTATTTTCTTCTACTGTGATAGTTTAAAAAAAAGAAAAAGTGGGGAGGGGAATTATTATTGATTTAAGTTCTTCCCACATGTTTGTATTAACAGAGAAGAAAATACAATAAAAGGTGGAGGTGGAAATCAGAGATGGCTTTTGTAATTGCCTACTCACATCATAAGGATTCTTACTCTGACCTATGTATTCTTAATCTTTCTTTTCAATATGTGGATGATGCTCACTTAAATGGATTTTAACTGAAGCAGAATTCTCTACTTAGACAAGAATAGTGGAAAAGTTGACCATTATCTCCAATTTTCACAAGGTTTGGTTTCAGATGCTGGTGGAGTTTCACACACAAGTTGTGTGTCAGGTGCTGCTTGGTATTTTGGGTGCTGTCCCATGTGTAAGGGGACTCCTGTCAGTGTGGTCACTGCTTGGTGAGGATCACTGCTGCCTGGGAGGAGCAGACCTCTCTGCTCCGTGGCTGGAGCTCAGAGCCTTGGGCAGTGCAGAGCTGTCACTTCACTTGCTGCTCATATTTGTACAGCTCTTGAGGCTCAGAGTCTGCAACCTGGGCTCCAGTGATGGTGTTTTCTGCTATTTATCCTGTGGCACATGGAGAAAATCATCCTTCAGTGGTTTGATCTGCTCCTGAGAATATTCCTTGGTGGTGAATGAGCTTTTAAGTAGTGTCTGAGGAATATGCTGCAGCTGGGCTGAGTTATTACATCTTTGTTGACTTGCAACCTGAAATCTATATCCTACTGAGTCCTGCTGTGGAGCCATCATCTCTTTACCTTGGGATTATTGATTGCATTAAAATTCACTTTGTACTGCACACAGACATAGGGTACTGATTACTTTTGTCCATGTTGCCACTTGGAAATGTTATTTATGTGGGATCATTTCCAACATTAGTGCCAATCTGGAAAGCAGGATGTTTTATCTTTATTTATTGAAAATCTTTATACAAACAAGTTGCTTACTGAGAGAAAATACTAATTCAAAGGAGCAACTTGCTATCCTTATTTATTTAATTTGTTTTGGTGCTTCCTCTTCAAATGGAGAAAACATCAATATAAAATGACTTTATGGCAACCCTCAAAGTTTTAAGTTAGCTTTAAACTTTTGGGTGTTTCTTCCCCTAGCACTGCTGAAAGAAATCTTGGGGAAGAAATAAATAATTTGGTTTATTTTTAACTGATTTCCCACCTCAGCCTCTATGCTTAAGTAAGTGCATGTGCATTTTTTTTCAGTGCAATACAATTTGAATTAAGAAATGAAAGCATTTCACTTATGCAGTGACCAACAGAACTAAATACCCTTTTAAAAGTAGATGAGTAGGGTTCACGAACTCCAGTCTGATATTTTTGGTTGGTTGGGGTTTTTTCTCCGGGGGTGTGTGTTCCTTACAAGCTTCCCACACTTAATTTGCTCATGCATAACTGTCATCTCTTGCTTTCAATGACAAAGCAAAATTTGTTTCCAAATTCTGCTTTCAATTCTGGGCACAAAACATTAGAAGCACAGAGTTTACTGAGGCTTGGAACCATTTATGCATTTTGTATTCTTATTGTAACCAATCTTTTGAATGAAAATTTATTTCTTAACCAGCTGGAACACAAATACCAAAAAGTGTTTTATTTTAGGTTCATAATGGTGGCAAGGCAGAAGACAGGGGCATGAAACTACAGCAACTTCATTTTGATAGTATGCAGAACAGAATCCATTAACTGAGTCTCAGGAGTCAGGCTCAAGGACCTCTTGATTAAGAATTAAATTACAGGTATGATTTACTAAATTTGTGCTTGGGGAAAGAAGGATTTTGATGATGATATGATTGGTAAACTACACATTTCCTCAGCAACCTATTAAAGTTAATGGGAATAGCAGAATGGGAAATGCAAAATACTTCACAAAACTTAGGAAATAAGTTGTCTTGTAAACTAAGCCAAAAATCTGTGTCAGTAACTTCCTTACTGAAATAAACCCAAGGGGAAGGTAAGGCTGGTTTGCAGGGTCTGCTTAGCATTGTCCATGAATTATAAATCCTGTCCTTAGACAAGAAGAGAAAGGGAGAAAAGAAGGAAAGAAAAGGGCAAGCAGCTCACATTGGTCCTCTGCCATTTTCTGGCTTTCTTTTTGTTTTGTTTCTTTTCCAAAGCCCATAACTTGAGGTCATTTTGGGATTAATTGAAGCTAATGTCTTCACTTCAAAGCAGCACAAGACCAAGCCAAATGTACATGCATAGCAATTAAAGACCTGGCAAGGTATTATGGATTGGTTTCTAGAGCAGCAGCTTTCTCCCTGTGCTCTTCCAGTTGTTCAGGCCTTTGATGTGCTTCAGAGCACAAATAGCAGGGCCTGTGCTTAAACAAAGGAGCATTTTAGCACTTGATTCTACAGAGAGTGACTGGTGTGCTATTGTTAATATTTTTAACTGTCTGTAAAATTGGAGATATTATGAATCTGGTACGACTGGCTACAGGAGAATTCTGTGGATAATGAAGAAGATTGCAGGGGGCAAATTGAAAGACTTGGTTTTTATATTGTGTAGCATCAGTATTCCTTTAGTGCTAACAAAGATGAGGCCAATTTAGTATAAATCTTCAAAGCAACATGTGTGAATTTATCTGTCCAGTGCTCATTACAGTTAATGGGAATCATGTGGCTGGAACTTTGCAAGTGCTTTGAGAGTGCTCCTTTTATGGTTATGTTATAGACCCCCATGTTAGCTGTTTTGTTATTATTTTTATATTGCTCCATTTGTTTTCTTGACACTGAAAAAAATCAAAACACTAAACTAATTAAAAACTGCATCACCCCCTCCAGTGCTGAAATGGAGCAAAATACCCATTTTCTAAAGTAAATAAAATATTGCTTATATGTGAATCAACTTGAGACACAACATGGCTCTCTCCTGGTTTAAATCCCAGTAGTTTAAATCCCAGTATTATAAATCCTAATGCTTGTTGCTTGCTAATTAAGGTGAGCCTAACTGGAAAGTCAAAATGTTGTTCCACACATCCATGTTTCAGTTTTGATCTCACTGTGCATCAGTCACCATGTGTGGTACAACATCTGCATTTCTTCATGGGTATCCTGAAGGGGATATCATCTTTAAGGAATCTGTAGGGAAGAAAAAGAAATAATGAAAACAAGAAGTTATAAGGCAGGTGATGAGCATCAAAGTGCACCTACACAGATGAAAGAGTAAATTGATAGAAGTTTCATTTTAATGAATTTTTTGATTGTTAGCCTATAAAAATCTATGAATAGGCCTATGTTTTGTTATGGAAAGGAAGATTTTTTTTTTTCCCTGCCATTTGAAATGGGATAAATTAGAGAAAATTTTATAAAATTGCTTGAAGCTCATAAATCATAAAAAGCTTTCAGTCTGGTGTTAGGTGAAATACTCTGGGTTTTAGGTGAAGGAGATGGTTTGGTTTAGGCCAGCAAGGAGATGGTCAGTGGTCTGTGCCCAGTGAGTGGATGGTAACTGCCTTTGTTTTCTCCCACAGCCTTGCTTAGTGGGAGCTATGTGAAAAATATCCTGCAAATCCTTCTTCTGGAACATGAAACACCCCTCTGAGTTTCTTCTGGTGGTTCTGTGATTGTTAGGCATTGTGTTTTGGCTTCTTTTTGTTCAAAAATGTGAGTACAGCTGAATAGGGATCTTCTAGAAGTCTAGAAGTAAAAAATCTTTGGAGAAAGATCAGATCAGAATGATAATGTGATAGTATTAATAATTTCAGGTAAAAATAGCATTAAACCATGCAGTTAGCACATCTTTCCAAAATTAATGTTGGACATATTGCTTCTTTAACTTAAAATTAATCTTTCTTGAGTAAAGCGATATTATAAATTATTCTTAGACCCTGGTCTGCATAAATTCAATCCCAGTTAATTTATGTATGTGAGCAGTTCACAAAGACAATGGTGTAAATTAAATCTAAGGACATACTTGTGGGAGGGGAAGAGTTTGAAGCAACATTTCTGCTGCTGTCCAAGGCAAGGCATTTCTGCATCGTGGTCCTTAGAACTGGTTCATGAATTGATCCAGGATCAAAGTGATGGCTCAGTTTGTGTAGGGCCATGCCTGAGACCCAGAAGGACTCTGATACAGCCTTAGGAGAATAAAAAGAAGACTGAATAATATTCATGCCTTCCCACAGTAACCTTTAGTTTGAAGGTAACCAGTAAAATGTTTCAAATTAAAAAAAAACTATAATTAAATATTTTGTTACTTCTTTTTCCCCAGATGGCATTTCCACTCTTACTGTTCAATCCAAAATATTCGTGGTGGATGTATCTGGCACATTTGAGCTGTGCAGTGAACACAGCTAGAAGGTTAGGAGGCTTATTTTTGCTCTAAATTGATGCTGACAATTTTTTTTAAGTAAGATTGGGATTATACATACTGGAGATGTATCTCTGGTGAGATACATACTGGATTTGTAAATAGCACATACATCTAGGCACAGCCAAGTCAAAGCAAGACTCCCTCACACCTCTGTGTGACACACTGAGCAATGGAGGGGAGTTAAATGTGATCCACACCAAACCCTTCCAGACAAAAATGAGGCTGAATGATAAATTTTGATTTATTGTAGTTACTGCTAGACGTCTTTGCACTTTTATTAAAGCAAATTAAATGGCTAATGAAATCCCTTGACCCCTGCAATGTTTGTGCCAGCCTGTTGTTATTTTCAGGCTTGTTTTTGCTGACTTGCTGCCGTTGGTACGGGCACGATGTGTTCTGTGACCCTGTGAGCTCTGACCTGTCACAGATGTTAAGGAACTGCTTACAAAAACAGAGCTCAGATTCTCACTCTGATTCACTGTCTGGATGTGTCAACAGAATGAAAAAAAATTTTGGAGAACTCAAATCTGCTCCAAATTGAGGTAAGAGTATTGTACTAACAGCCCCTTCAAGTAAACCAAATTAAAGTCACCCAGCTTGAAAAGGATCACTATGGTTACCTGGTTTAAAGGCAATCATTAATAAAGGAGAGAAAACTGGAGCTGAGTGAAGCAATAGAAAAGGTTAGACTGGTGTTTTTCATCAAATTTGAACTTCATTAAGTATCTGTTTTAGGGATGCCACCTTAAAGGTTATAACTAGAAGAAACCAAACTTAAAAAGAAGTGTTAAAATATTTAAAAATTTTAAAAAGGACAGCCTTTCTAGGGTAAGGGTCTGGATGGAGTCTAGTTAAGGTTTAGAGGGGAAGATTTTCTCCCTTTAATATTTTGATAAAAGATAATTGGATTTAAAATGGTTGCAGTGTCCTTCTTAAATCACATATGTTCTGATTTTGCTGCCCTGTTCTTTTTCATGGTGCATTACATATTCACATGGGACCAGAGCCTTAGAAGCAAGGAATCTGAGCTTGAGCTGGAGCTTGATTTAAAACCCAATCTTAAATATTTTAATTTAAGTCAGCCAACATATAGCTTCCAATCCCAGGGTGGAATGTTGGCTTTTCAAAAATCATAAATACACTTGCAGTCTCTGAAGTTGGGAGAACTCCTTACACTGATATTATGGTTTGTGGTGACAGCCACTGGCCAACACAAAGCCCTCAGTTCTCATCTGCATAAAAAGTATTCTGGTTATTTTTTTCTGGGGTGATTTTTATTTGGAGTTCAGAGGAATTATGCCAAAGCTGGCTGATGGCCTCCATTTATGCAAAAAGAGCTTTTTTGCTTTGAAAAAATAAGGGTAAACTAAATATTGGCTTTCATATTAGCTTACTTTATTACTTAAAATAGATGAAAAGCCTTTTATACAACTGATACATTAGATTTTTTTTCTGGGGACTCCTAACTAAACCACTCAATTTCACTTTTTCTCTGTTGCAAGCCTCAATCTCTTGTGCTTTGCTTGACAGGAATTCTCCTTGCTCCCCATGTAAAATAGACATAATTTAAAGCCACTTTATCATTCTGAATTTTAGAGTTACATCTCACAAGAGTGGTGCCATTGCAGCTGTGATTCAGAGATCTGTTTAAAGATGTAAGGGTGGCAGGTTTTGTGTTCACACTTGGATCTCAAATTTTGCAGTAGCTGGACAAATAGAGGGAGTAGCTGCCTTTTCTGAGGAAGAAGAGCTATAGAATTATTTTAAAGAAAATAATGCTAATTAATTCTGCTTTATTTTTTTTAAAATTATTTGGAAATTAGTGTATATGGTGGATCTAATATGCCAGTAGAGAAGTAGGTATTCTTCTCTTCTTTCTGTATTTTAACCTACCTGAGGATGTTCTGTGACACAGCCATAACGGCAGCAGGTGTTATAGTCTTGTGTTAATAATTGATTAAAGCATCCCCCAGCAAGCTCTTACTGTGATGGATTTTATCAGTGCTGTGTGGTAAGAGGGTCCCCACATGGGCCTGGACACCAGAGCAGTTTGGGAAGTCACTTGTTGTCAATAACCTGGGGATTTTTTGGAGGAAGGATGGAGGAGGAGGTGGGCTGCGAACTGCAGCTTGAAGCTGCTCTGTCCAAGTGAGGGCTGTTAGAGATGGAAATCTGGCAAGAAAAGGGTGCCTGGGATGAACCAAACAGTTCATCCCAAACATGAGGAGTTGCAGGGGAGGTTGAGGGCGCTCATCAGATTGCCAGGGAGATCAAAATGCTTCGAATCCTCTTGACGAAGAAAAGCGTTAAGTCTCAACATTAAAAATAGATGCTTTTTATCTTGTATATGATACAAAATCTCTTGTGATATGGTATTTTTCTATTATACTTTAGCAGCTCTGAGGAGTCGTGGATTAGGCCTGTATCACAACAGTAATTCACAGGAGGCTGTGTTTTGTCTTGCTGTGACACCAGCTACTATTGTTTTTGATCTGCAGCCTCTGAAGAGGGATGGTGCGTCTTCTGTGGGAGGTGTTGTGAGTGCAGATTAGTTAGACAAGTGCTGGAGTGAATGCATAAGTAGTGATTTTGCATAATGAGGTATGTGAAATCCCAGTGGAGGTTGTTAAAACAGATAGACAGCCTGTGGTAAACAACAAGGAAGGTAGGCTTTGAAAACAGATGGCTTTGAAAACCTGGCAAATGACTGTTCCATACTTAAAAATCAGTTTTGTTAGTGGAAAATATCTTATTTGAAAAAAAAAAAAAACCAAAACAAACAAACAAAACTGAAAATGCTTAGGCTGCGTATTTTCACGAACCTGAATGTGTTAATAAAGTTGTGTGGGGAGCCATACATCATCTGTCTTTCCTGCCACACGTGAGTGTGAGCGATGGGCTGCCCGGCTCGCAGCGTTCTGCAGCGATCCATCAGCTTTCCCTGTGCAGCTGCTCCTACCTGGTGGTTATGTTGCTCTTCATTATCACTTGGACTCTCTCTGTGTCAGTACTTTTCATTGGGAATCTAATCGTGCACTCAGAGGTTTAATTTGTCTTGAAAGACAGAGTCTGAGTGAAATGGGAATACAGAGGAATATTTCTGCTGGTTGGAAAGGGCACTGAAAGGCCCATTGCCATTTGAATGACTACATTGCTAAGGTTGGGGCTGGCCAGGAGATGAGATGCTGTTTTGGAACTTTAAAATGGAGCTATTTTCCATGTCTTTCACGCCTCTGGCACAGGCAGCAGGAGGTGTGAGACTGAGACCGACCTTCTTGTCCCATGGTTGTTGTAGTCCCAGTGAGACACCGTCACTCTGGCTGTCACCTGCCTGGGGTTCACACTCTGTTCTCTCCTGCAGGCTGAGCTGGGACAGCAGCAGCTCCAAAGCAGTTCCTGCAGTGTGCCAGAGGCCAGCTCAGGGGCTCACTCGCCAGTGCTGACACTGTTAAAGACCTTCCCCATGGCCTGAACATGAGACCATTTCAGTCAAATAATGCTTTTTCTTTCCTCTCCCAGTGCAACTCCTAAAAGCTTTCCTTTGTCAGTGTAAGTTACCCTACAGCCTGTGGGTAAATCAAATGTGTCATTTTCTTGCTTGTTTTGGTGGCTCACTTCGAACAAGGAAAGGCCAGGGCTCTGTGGGCTTGATTGAAAGATAGTGCAAGTGGTCCAGTTCCCCTTTGGAAAAGATCCCAAATGCAAACAGGGGAATCCTCAGTCCCCAACCTCTGCTGGTAAAAAGGCAAGTTCCTACCATTTAAGAATGAGAAATGGGTCATCCTGTGTTCTGAGAAAATCAGGGACCCGGGCTCTTGTCAGACACTTGCCCTTGTGTGCTAACTGTGACAACAGCATTCCTGCTCCAGGGATGGCACTGTGTCCTGTTAAATCCTGGCCCTGGGGCCAGAGAAGGACAGCTGCTGGCCTCTGGCCTGCTTTTCATGAAGTAACACTGCCCAATACATTTTTCAAAAGCACTTAAGGTAATGCACTGAAAACTTTCAAATTTTGAGTATTTTGGTACCTAAATAAGAGTTGAGCTGTTCCAAAAAAAATCTCACACCAGCTGTCTCAAAACCCATTTTCTGTGCTGCAACAAGATTGTAACAAATGTCTGTCCCAGATCTGTGAAGTTCTTCCAGAATATTCGAGAAGGGACAGTGTCCTGTCATTCACAGGTTACCAATCATTCATCCCTGAGCTGAAATGGCAGAAATCCCTGAGTTTTGATATTTCAGCTGCAGGGGTAGCAGGATGTTTCCTCTCTGAGCCTTCTGCAGCTGTGTGAGGATGAAAAGCAGGGGATGTCTGGGATATTTCCCAGCTCTGGGATGGCTGTTAGGAATGTTTATTGCACACGGGGGCAGTAGCACACCGCAGAGCTGCTCAGGGATATTTAGTGTTCCTTAGCTGGCGGTGGGTTTGACAGATATTGGCAAGAAATATTAACTTACATCCAAGTTTGTCTTAACTAATAAGTGATGAGCAAAGAGAAGTTTGTATTTGCTGCTTTAAAATGATATTTATCCTGTGAAGTTTTTTATTCCAGCTTTGACACGTGGTCCCCTTCATTGTTTTAAGTGTTGCAGGTGCCAACAGAAGCCAAAAGTGGGAAGACTGCTCTTGAGAGCAACATAAAAGTGTTCTTCTGGTCTTTGGAATCAGTACTTGTGTTACATTGCCCTGTTTTGTCTGTGCTCCTTTTTTAAACTCTTTTGGATGTATTTTCTGTGATACAGTTAGTGGAAAAGTTGTTTTACTTTTTTAAGGAATAACCAAGTGCTTAAGTGCTTTCCTGGATCCAGGCCAGAGCTAGCATCTTGCAGAATAGAGCCGATGACAACTCATTTCATCCCAAAAATCGCAGTTTTCTTCACAAACTCCAGTAAACAAAGTCTCCTGATAGCCTGTGAGTCCTGGAGCAGCGGCAGTGTCCTGGCTTTCCAGATGGCAACGAGCGTGGTTAAATGACTTGCTCAGGGGAGTTGGTGGATGAGAGAGGCTGGGCAGATGCAGGAGGCAGGCTCTGGGGAGGATTCTTCTGCCTGGCTTTATTGCATCTTCGTTATGTTTGTGTCTCTGCCTGGGTGCTGTGATTGGGCCACAATTGCCCAAATCTGTCTGTTCTGTGAGGTGTGTTCTGAAAGTACATCCAGAGCTCTGGGGGAAGGGGGAGAGTGGCTGTAGGTGCTCCTTTTTGGGGGGGTTTGAATGACACCAGACTGCTGGCAGTCAGGAGGTGCAGAATGGTAGAACTGGTGCCTTGATACGCCCAGTCACCTCTGAATCTGGACGTGCAGAGGGAAATAATGGAAAAAAGAATAAAAGCCAGAAAATGAACAAACAAAACCACTGAGTAACATTTTTTTATCTTTGTATTTATGAGTTGTGTTAGCATTAGTAACTCTGGAATTAGTAATTCAGGAACTCACCTGAAGCAATTATGCAGGGACTTCCTAACAGTATTTCATAATAACATAGGTAGTTACACAGGGATTATTTAAAAATAATACATTCTCTGTATTAATCTTTGGTTGCTATTGACTTGGTGACAGGTTGCTGTTGGTGCAATGAACTGTGGTGTAATTAGTAGCAAATAGGACCCATGCATGCTGTGCTAATTATTTTTGTGTGAACCCAATTCATTGCTAATATAAATAGCAATATTAATCACAGCCAGTATCAATATTTATGCAGTGTGCTTCCATTTAAGTGCAGCTGTAGACAGCAACACTTGTACATGCACCAGAGAGAGGAGTCAGTGTTTTCAGTCACACCATGATGTGCTATGTCCATTCTCTGACAATTGCTTAGGGCAAACAGTATGGGATGTGACTCCAGGCTGCTTCTCTGCAGGAGCCCCATGTCCTCAATAGCAAACTGGACTGCACTCAGAGGACACATCTTGTTCATTTTTCCTTCCTCCCATTTCTGACCACACTGGCTGTTAGCACCTTTGGCCTGTGACTTGAAGGGTGCTGGGTGTTTGTGAGGGTCTGGGTAGGAGCAAGGATCACGTTCTGTTCTGTGTCTGTGGAAATCTCTCAGAGGATGGGGCTCATTTGGGTGAGTCAGGGTCATCTGTCTCTCAGTTCCTCATCTTTAAAAGACAGCTGTCATACAGGTGGGGAACAGTGTCAAAAGGAACACTCAACTGCCCCAAGTGAGGTTTCAGTCTGTTAAATAAAGCCAGGAGAGTCCATCTCGATGCCAGTGTCTTGAGTGCATAGATCCAGCTGCTTTGCTTGTTCCAATACTTCTGCTGGCAAGCAATCTTTCCTCTTACTTAATGGATTTCCCAACTATTGCCTTTAATGAGTGCCATGGATGGTTTCTGGTTTAGCCTTATGCTGACTGTACACGTGTTCTGAAAAGAGTCAGGTTGGGCTGTGCAGGTGAGTGGTGTGAACGGGGCTGGCTGTACATACTGCAGCACTTGTGGCACTTGGAGGAGTCCCAGGGCTGGGGAAAGCAAAACTGCAGATTAGCCTGTGATCCTGACCCTGGGCAGGGATGTACAGTGCATGCTGCAGAAGTACACTCAATAAATTAGACGGTGATGTATGGCACAGTACATCACATTCTTGAAGGCAAGGCATATATACTCACCAGATAATGTGGAGCACGTGAAGTATTGAATATATCAAAGGAAGATTAATCTTTGTCTGGGAGTAACCCTGCACATTTTCTGTCTAGTTGAGTCAATGCAATGTAATTTAAAATGGGAAGGAAGTGTGTGTGCATCTGGATATGGACACAGGAGGAATATGTTTGTGTGTGTGCTAGGGGATTTCAGGGTACACATCTGAAATATTTCCCCCCATTATTTCACAGAAGAAAATGTTCTCTTCACATTGAAGGTCCTTCCTAAATGAGGATTAAGTGTCCCTTGGGACAAGTGCTGCAGGACCCAGGAGGTACAGCATGTCCCAAAGAAGGTCTTCAGACAGGTGAGTTTCACTCTTTCACATCTCACCATGGGAAGCTGTGGCTGCTGTGTGTGCTGGGTCACCAGTACCCTTCTTGACACTACAAGTGGAAAATCCAAGAACAGAAACTGTCAGAGTGTGGCCATTTGGCAAATATCTGCTCAAAAATGGCTATTGGTCTGTGAAGGTGCCTGGGACTGAAAGGTTGGCTGAAAATTTCCCATCTGTGTTTTGTTTGTGTTTAAGGATTGATAGTTTGTGGAGTTACAATTGCTACAACTATTTTCACCTCAAAAATTTGCATCTGCTATGTTAACATGAAAAATTAAAACCTTGGTACAATGTATGAAATGATGATTAATTTACAGCATTTATCTTGGCTTACTAATCATTCTGTTTTTAGCTGATAATTTTATTTGTAATCTCCAGAGTTAAATTGCCATAAAATACCATAGTTACAAAGACATTCATGAGCAGTTGAAAGGATATGACACATTGTAATTTAGGAATTAATGCACACGTTAAAAAAAAAAAGCCAATTCATGAGAAAGCTGCTAATACATGTACATTGTAGGAGAAACAAAGCAGGGGAAAAAAAAATCTGCAAACCAGAAGATAAGCACATGAGCAGTGCAGCTGTGCCACTAAGTGACAGTTTAAAGATACAGTGAATTCCATCCCACCATCTCTGAACAAAGAGCAACAAAGGGCAGAGAAATGTAACACAATCACCCAGCCATGAGCATGAGCAGTAGCAGCTGGGAAACACTGCCTGGCTGTGACTGAGCTCTGCTTTGCTGTCTCTTGCAATGTGGGCAGCTACAAAATCCCGTTCAAGGGCACTGAGACACAGCACTGCCAGTGCAGGAGCACTGGGAAAGGTGGCAGGACTTGTGGTGGCAGCTGATGCACAGCTGTGAGCAGCATTTCTAATCCAGTAACATGCTCCAGTAATGAAACCCATCCCTCTAATTAAAGGTCCTTCTTGTCATTTATTCTTTTCTCATAAATTCCCACCCTCTTTCTAGGGAGGGGAGGTGTACACTAGGCACTCCCACACTGTGTGCATGGCAGCTGTGAGATGATACCTGAGCTGGTGGTGCTGTGCAGAGTGGGGTCCTCACCTTGGCCCCAGACTGAGCCAACAGGGGGGTGTTTTTCTTCCAGGCACTACAATTCCAGTGTGTAATGTTTTCCAAAGGACTGACTCAGGAGAGGAGGGACTAAGGATTTCCCTCTATTTATTTGTAAGTCCCTGACACGAATGGTTCTTTGAAGTGTTTTTAGGATGCTGTAGGGCAGCTCTATCTCTCACTTAAAAATATATTTTGAATCACAAGAAACTTTAGATGTGTGTGTTCATAACAGAACATATGAACTACCACTGCTAACACAAAGTCAGCTTTGTCAAGCTACACCAGGGTTGCCATTTCCCTTCAGTCCTGTGGTTGGGGACCTTTTAGATTAAATTCATTAGTTCATGGTAGTTTTGAGATGTAACATAAGCCTCCAAAGGCATCTTAAGCTTCTCTTTTTTATTAAAATTAAATCTTCCCTTGGCATTTCTCTAGGCACTTCTCCACTCACAAATAAAAGGGACACTGCTGAAGGATATTCTGCTGCACACTTAAATGCCAGCAATCCAATTAAAGAAATGTTTAACCTTTTGTAAATAAAGCTATGTCTTGTGCTGGCTTTTGGCTAAAGGAAAAAAAAAAATAACTAATTTATTATTAAGCTTCTTACTCAAGACTGATGTATGTATTCATGATATAGTTTATAGCATTATAAGGCCAGAATATATTAAAATTATTCTGTCCTGGAAGGTCAGCTGGCTGCAGATTCTGACACTCTGCTCTCGAGTCAGCTCCGCTCAGTGATGTTGTTCTTCAAAGCCATCTTGGAATCTTGCAGTCTCTGGACACAAAAGTCCTGATCCAGCTGTTAGATGTGTCCCAACACTTTCTTATATTTCTGGTTTTTGAACATGGCCTCTGTTAAAATGAGCATATTTTCCCATTTCAAACAATGCTCATGGATTTTGATAGGAAAGTGTTCAAACTCTGATCTACCTTGTTCTAAGCCTTAGTCTAAAAGCATTTTTAAAGCTAAACAATTGATTCCATATCTGGATGTTGATTTTAGACTATCCCTAGATGACTCAACTGGTGTAGAAGACTGTTATAATTGATCTCTGTTAGTTTGGTGGGATATTTTTTTAACCAAACTTACAGCTACTTTCTCTTCTATCCAGGCATTGCTGGCTCCAGGCCTGGTGAATCCCTGCTGCTCTGGAAATTCCCCAGTGCTTGTCTCACACTCAGCCCAGGGTGCTGCAGGCTGGGCTCCTCAGGACCTGGGCTTGGGGGTAACACAGAGCTCCATGGCAGCTACACTTGTGCTCTGCCAGCTGGCTTATTCTTCTGTTTGTATTGCTCCTGCTTGCAACTTGGCATCACGTTTGGGAGCTGGGTTTTGATTTCTGCTTGCTTTTTTTTTTGATGTTGCTATCAAGGCAGATATATTTTCTTTTCCTTGTACACTATAGAAAAACCTAAAGCTTCTTAAAAAAAAATTTAAAGCAATTCAGCTTTTTGAAACTGCATAATTGAAGAACTCTGAAATAATTGGCTTATTATAGTGCACCCATAAAAATGAATTTGCATCTCATTTATGAACTATTAGATTCCTTATTACATGCGACTGATTGTTCTTAATGTGACTTGCATATAATTTAGCATTCTTTACTCATACATTTTGTAGCTAAACACTGGGGGAGGGAAGTTCATCCCAAAATCATAGCAGCAGAATGTAGATTGTGGAGCAGCCGCAGACTGATCTTGCATGAAGTGCTCTCAGTTTGTCTCTATTCCCCTCACAGTGCTGAGGTGCAGAAACCCCAGATCAGAAACTGATTTTTTCCTGGCCTCTTCCCAGGGCTCAGTCTGGGTGTACTCTCACCTGAGCTCACCTGAGTGACAGAGGGTGGGCAGGGACCTGGTGCTCAGAGCCTTTGGATGTGGGGGAGGATTGCTGAGCAAACACTTCCCAGCTGCTGGGCTGGGACACCCTCATGGATCCAAAATGCTGGAATCACTTCCCTCTATTCCTACCAGAGCATTCCCTACCTCAGAAACAGGACACCAACACAGCCTGGAATCACTGAATCACAGGAATCCACAGGAATCACTGCTTCCACTGTGCTTCCAGCAGCATTCCCTCTGTCTGAGCAGGGCTTCAGGTGGTCATAAAGCCCAGCCTTGCTATCCATGACTCCACTTGGACTCAGAGGAAGGGCAAAACAAAAGAACAAAAATGAAGCAAAATACAGGGGTCACTTTGTGGAACTGAAGAGGATTCTGGGTTGGGTGAGTGTAGAAATAATATCACAAAGTTGAAGGGAAAGTGGCAAGTAGGCGCCTTGAATGAAATCCTGCAAAATTACTGAACAGCAATTTCAGAATATTTCATTTACTGTAGGAAGTGGCAAAAGAAAGTGCAAGTTCATTTCAATAGATACAAAAAATGCTGTGGTCTTTATAAGGGATGTTAGCCTCTCTTTGGGCACAGGAAATTAAGAAACCACTGATGGTAAGTATTCAGCAGGAGCAAGTGTAGTGAGCCTTGGGTCGTGAGTTTGAGTATCAGTGGCTCCCAAAACAGGTGGACACTCCTGTGGGTATTTTCTTCAGAAAGTACATGGAGAACTGAGATTCTGGATCATGTGGTTTAATCCAGTGCATGATCCTGCTGGTTTTTTAAGGGTAGCAAGTGAGCAGGACACCAGGTGAGGTAAGGAGAAGAAATTATGGATCAAAAATTGTACAAAGACATTATGATCCTTCAGACAAAATAAAATATGTACAATTCTATTCTGTTCTGAGGAGGAACTAGTGGTGTTGGCAGCAGCAACATCAGAAGAGTGCTGACATGCTTTGTATTTTATTTGCCTTTCTTCTGGATTGTCAGTGTTCTCTGAATCTCTGTTCAGCAGCACAGTAAAAACAGCCAGAAACAATTCCAGGGAGGCAGAAATGATCCTTGCACTCTTCTAATCCTGCCCTTACAATAATTTTGAAGAAATTAAACATGGGTTCAGACATGTGGATGTGCTGCATCTTTTCAAAGCTCTCATTTTGTGTAGGGAAATGATTCCCTTGATATATTAGAGCATCTCAGAGTGTGTCCATGCCACTCCAGGACATCTCTGGGCTGTCAGAAGCTGTGAGAGGAGCAATTTCTCGCAGCCTGACTTTGGGGCTGGAGCTGCTGCAGTACATGGTGCAGCAGAGGAGGTTCTGCACGTCCTGGGAGCTGCACCAGTCCCCTGTAGCTGCTACCTGAGCCCATTTCTGCCCCTTCATCCTCTCACTCGTGGCCCTGATGTGGTCACAGGGGGTTTGACACCCCGGAACCCGCGGAAGGTTGCGATGAGGTTTCGGAGTTCAGGGGTTAAGCAGAGCTGATCTGTGAGCTTTGCCGAGGCAGGCGCTCTGCTGCCCCGGCCTTTGAAGGATAAAAGTGTTATCCAGACAAATCCATGCTGCTTTTCAAAGCAGCAAGTCTGTGTGCAGCACAGCTGGGGTCTGGGAGCAGGGCTGCTGGCAGGGCAGGGCAGGGAAGAGCAGCCTGCTGTTTTCTTTAGGAGGAAAGGTGGAAATGCATTTTTCAAAGCAGCTAGGTTGTTTTGTAAATGGCTGGTTTTAATGCCCAAATAAATGTGTTTTCAGTCGGTTTCCACCTCAGAAGGTAGATTCTAGGTGCAATTTAAAATGTTCCTTTCAGCTTTTTCTAGGTGGCAATCAAAAGTGCCCATCATCTTGGCTCACACATTCTAATTCTGCAATGTAAACTTGTAGTTTTGAGGGAGGAGGAAGTCAGTGTGGAGTCAAGCTGTAAGATCTACTCCCTCTTTTCCCCTTCTATTTTTGGTGTATGTGCTTTGCTCATGTTTTGCAAACACTGCTGTTTGTTTTTTAAAGCATACATTTAAAGGACACACGATGATTACCAATAAACTAAATTAAAAGGGCAAAAGCTGGAGATAGTAGAGGGAAGTTGATAAACCTTGTCACCATGTTCATTACTCAGCACTGAGTGCTTTTCACTGCAGCACCTCACACCTAGACACAATGCTGATTATCTGTGCAGGAGGCTGTTTTGGCATGCTGAAGGAAAACACTGCTATGTCTTGCTAATTTGATTTTAATATCTGTGCCATGCCTTTCTTGGGCCTAGAAACTAGCTTGCTTTTTACTAATATAATTGGCTAATTACAACATCTTCTGTAGGAGATGGGGAGATACCCACAGCCCTTATGGGATTTGGAACATACTAAAGTAAACAAATGACAGTTCCTGATCCAACAAGAGCTCATTTGGAGCACAAAGAAAGGAATATAGCCACTGCAATTGTCTTAATAAGTTTTTTGAGGTTATTGATTGTCCAGTCTTTGGAATGGAGATGGAAACACTGGAACATGGAGGACACAGCCCTGTAGGACTTCTGTGGCAATAAGGACAGGTAGTTACAATCCGTTCTGCAAGTTTGCACTATTTTGTATGTTTAATCATTTTAAGTTCCCTACCTGTGGCCAGTTGTGAAGATGTAAAGGAAGAGAAAAAGGTTGCACCAAAACAGTCTCCCTTGGTCCCAGTAACTAAAATATTCTAGGTTTTGCAGTGTGATCCTGCAGTTTTGGTGTTTCCTTCCTTTCCAGCTACCACTCAGGGTAACCACTCACCTGGAGTTAGTCCCTGGGAGGGAAACAACCCTGGCTGGAGCCACTGATTTCCTCTCCCACTGCACAGGTGATAAGGGGTGGACAGGTGAGAAGGGACAAGTGTTACCTCTGCCATAATGGTGAAGATGGAGCAGTAACTTTGAATAAATAGATCACCTTCCTGTCCTGATCCCAGCTCCAGCAGTCACAGCCTCCTTTCCCCAGGATCCTCACTGCATTCCATCCTTACACAGTCTCCTTCAGACAGGACTCGAGGAGAAGTCCTATCCTAGACAATCAATCGTTGAGCCTGGAAAGAGTTTGAGAGACTTATGCTAATCATATTTAATTAGTGTGTGCAAATGATTCTAACTAAATGTAGACTTCCCTTAGTATCTTCAATTAAAAGCTCTGGATGTACTCCAAAGTTACAAATTCCTTCACTAAGCCAGTAGGGAATGATAATGAATTATTGCTAATATAGTCATAAAGCTTTTATTTGCATAAGTAATATGAAGCTAATGTGTGGATAAAATTAAACTTGAAAATGAAATATTATTAAAACAAAACCGTTAATGAATTTGGACACATTACTGAGCAGGTATATTTGGCAGCTGGCTGGAACAGATAACTCCAATAGAAGTCTAGCAGAATCAAAATCAATATTGAATATTGCATAACACAGTGCAGATAGTCAAGCAAGTTAGATGTGCTCATTGTCTCAGTTCTGATGTGCTTCATCATTGTTTGCTTTTGCAATCATAACCAAGAGAAGGTGTCAGGAAGGAGAACCAAATCCTTGGATTTGACTATTTCATACTGGTTTTTACCATTTTAATTAGACTGGCTTGAGAGAAGATGAATAAATATTGAGGTTTGTAAGTCATAAGTAGATGGTGTTCACACATGCTGCTTATACCAGCAGGATGGGTTGTTACCATGTTTAGAATCTTACTGCCAAGGCTGGATGTTTTTCTTCTTGAAATAATTCACTGATCACTTTTTACTCTTTCATACTGCAGAAGGCTTTCCTCAATCCCCTGTGGATATGTTAGTGCTGGGCTGCAGCAGTTTGGATTTCTTTTGTTTA